CAAGATGATATTTTAAAAAAGTTTCATTGTCCTTTTGGACATATGCCATCCATCCATAAATTAATTCATCATAATCACTAGTTCTATTTTCGTCTCCGATAAATATATCCGATTCATACAAGTGTATATGATAATAATTCAAAGAAATTAAGTTCTTATTATCATCAATTAAATGGAAAATAAAAATGCCAATTTCAGTTAGTATAAAAATATCATTATTTTTTAATGATTTGAAAGCAAATATCTTGATATATTTGTTTTTTTTGACCTTTGCATCTCTTAAATATTTATCTGCACCAAATAAACGAATCAAATCTTTTTCAACTCGCAACTCATTTTCTGCGATATTAATTTGAAAGTTATCCTTCGCTAATTTTTTAATTTTAGTCATACGTATTGTAAATTCCCTCATTAATTTTTCGATTTTGTTTTTCCAATTTTTATGAACCTCCTCTTCAAATTTAATTGTCTCTTCTTCAAGTTTAGTCATCCGTTCATTAATATCTAAATTAATTATTTTTTTTTCTTTATAATCTTTCTCTTTTTTTGATTCTTTATCAATTATAATTAGCCGTTTAATAAAATCTTCAATTAATGCTTCATCCGATTCAAGATCGAATTTTTTAATATAATTTTTGATTGATGTTTTGTAAATTGTTTTCCTATTCTCCTTTGTTTTCTCGTCAATAAATTCCATAGTATCTTTATCCAGTGTTTTAAACTTCTCCTTTGATATCTCGTCAATAAATTCTATAGTATCTTTATCCAGAGTTTTAAACTTCGGATTATCTAATCCTTCAATTTTAATTTTCCATATAATTGAACCTTTATCTAATTGACAATTTGATAAATTTTGTTTTGGAGTTATTTTAGAAGGTTCTGATTGTTCATTTGTTTTTACTTCCGCAGATGAATCTAATTTATCGGATACATTTGCAAATATATAATTTTCTGATTTAGAATCAATAGCATAGTGATTATCATTCCAAATCCAAGGATAATCAAATAAAGAAACTAACAAATATAGATAATCTTTCATATAAACTTTCTTTTCGACTATAGAGAAAATTTCAAAATAAATACTTTAACTCGATTAATTATATAAAATTTAGTTTAAACTAGTTATTACCTTCATTCAAATCTAATGGTTCCGTAGGAATTCCCAGCTTTTTTGAATGAATAAAAAATTTCTCATCATTCGTTTTCAGGCAAGTAAAATCTTCATCATAAGCGACTCTAGTATTGTTAATCTGTTTAATTGATT